CGTTGTGGAGCTGTTTTGAGGGCATGGGAGCTGGCAGCAGCGGTTAACATTGGATGGATTGGATTGGATGCGATTTCTAGCAGGAAAAGGGACGGGATAAGGGATAGCAGGCTTAGAGAGGATTTCTAGTATAGGATTTCAGAAGGGACGTTCCGGCCTCCAGGGAACTTGTTCTTGCGATTAATTTTGCGTCATTTTCGGCACGAAATTAAGTGGTGTTTCGCCGTTGCGGCTGTGTTTCGAAAAAGGTGTCTGCCTGTTGGTTTCTTGCTTGAACAGCCACCAGCAGCAGCAGCAGCAATCAAAAGTGGATTGGATTGGCTTAGATTTCTAGTCGGATAGCAGGATAAGAGAGGATTCTAGCACGATAGCAGGATATATCCGCCGACCCCGGCAGACGCAAGGGGAGCGCGCCAGGGCATAATACATTTGACCCTTTTTTTGAACGGAAGGAGCAGGAGCAGCAGGACGAAAAAGGAACTAAAATCATCATTTTCCATGGGTTTCAGAAGTTACATTAGGCATTTTTGAGGTGCAGTTTCTGAATTTTTCCGTCCTTCACTGCCATGGGGATTTGCCGCTAGGAGTGGTTTACTTTTAGGCGTCGCAGCTAGCCATCAGATGGGGATTTGCCGCTGGGAGTGGTTCGCTTTTAGGCGTCGCAGCTAGCCACCAGCAGCAGAACTTGTGAAGTCTAATTTCTATGGGTTTCAGAAGTTACATTAGGCATTTTTGAGGTGCAATTTTCTCGAAGCTTTTCCGTCTTTCACTGCCATGGGGATTTGCCGCTGAGAGTGGTTCGCTTTTAGCCGTCGCAGCTAGCCACCAGCAGCAGCAGCAGCAGCAATCAAAAGTGGATTGGATTGGATTAGATTTCTAGTCGGATAGCAGGATAAGAGAGGATTCTAGCACGATAGCAGGATATATAAGAGAGGAGAGAGGATTTCTAGTAGGATTTCAGAAGGGACATTCCGGCCCCCAGGAAACTTGTTCTTGCGATTGATTTAGAGGTCGTTCCGTCCTTTACAGCAGCAGCAGCAGCAATCAAGTCGGATAGCAGGATAAGAGAGGATTCTAGCACGATAGCAGGATAAGAGAGGATTTCTAGTAGGATTTCAGAAGGGCCATTCCGGCCCCCAGGAAACTTGTTCTTGCGATTGATTTAGAGGTCGTTCCGTCCTTTAGGGCCATGGTGTTTTGCTGTTTCGGAACCGCCCGCTAGGACTTCGTTGTGGAGCTGTTTTGAGGGCATGGGAGCTGGCAGCAGCAGTCAACATTGGATGGATTGGATTGGATGCGATTTGTAGCAGGATAAGGGACAGGATAAGGGATAGCAGGATTAGAGAAGATTTCTAGTACCAGCAGCAGCACTTGTGAAGTCCAATTTCTATGGGTTTCAGAAGTTACATTAGGCATTTTTGAGGTGCAATTTTCTCAAAGCTTTTCCGTCTTTCACTGCCATGGGGATTTGCCGCTGGGAGTGGTTCGCTTTTAGCCGTCGCAGCTAGCCACCAGCAGCAGCAGCAGCAGCAGCAATCAAAAGTGGATTGGATTGGATTAGATTTCTAGTCGGATAGCTGGATAAGAGAGGATTCGAGCACGATAGCAGGATAAGAGAAGATTTCTAGTAGGATTTCAGAAGGGACATTCCGGCCCCCAGGAAACTTGTTCTTGCGATTGATTTAGAGGTCGTTCCGTCCTTTAGGGCCATAGTGTTTTGCTGTTTCGGAACCGCCCGCTAGGACTTCGTTGTGGAACTTTTCCGTCTTTCACTGCCATGGGCATTTGCCGCTGGGAGTGGTTCGCTTTTAGCCGTTGCAGCTAGCCACCAGCAGCAGCAGCAGCAGCAGCAGCAATCAAAAGTGGATTGGATTGGATTAGATTTCTAGTCGGATAGCAGGATAAGAGAGGATTCGAGCACGATAGCAGGATAAGAGAGGATTTCTAGTAGGATTTCAGAAGGGACATTCCGGCCCCCAGGAAACTTGTTCTTGCGATTGATTTAGAGGTCGTTCCGTCCTTTAGGGCCATGGTGTTTTGCTGTTTCGGAACCGCCCGCTAGGACTTCGTTGTGGAGCTGTTTTGAGGGCATGGAAGCTGGCAGCAGCAGTCACCATTGGATGGATTGGATTGGATGCGATTTCTAGCAGGATAAGGGACAGGATAAGGGATAGCAGGATTAGAGAAGATTTCTAGTACCAGCAGCAGCACTTGTGAAGTCCAATTTCTATGGGTTTCAGAAGTTACATTAGGCATTTTTGAGGTGCAATTTTTTCGAAGCTTTTCCGTCTTTCACTGCCATGGGGATTTGCCGCTGGGAGTGATTCCGGCCCCCAGGAAACTTGTTCTTGCGATTGATTTAGAGGTCGTTCCGTCCTTTAGGGCCATGGTGTTTTGCTGTTTCGGAACCGCCCGCTAGGACTTCGTTGTGGAGCTGTTTTGAGGGCATGGGAGCTGGCAGCAGCAGTCAACATTGGAATTTTTCCATCCTTCACTGCCATGGGGATTTGCCGCTAGGAGTGGTTTACTTTTAGGCGTCGCAGCTAGCCATCAGATGGGGATTTGCCGCTGGGAGTGGTTCGCTTTTAGGCGTCGCAGCTAGCCACCAGCAGCAGCACTTGTGAAGTCTAATTTCTATGGGTTTCAGAAGTTACATTGGGCATTTTTTAGGTGCAATTTTTTCGAAGCTTTTCTGTCTTTCACTGCCATGGGGATTTGCCGCTGGGAGTGGTTCGCTTTTAGCCGTCGCAGCTAGCCACCAGCAGCAGCAGCAGCAGCAGCAATCAAGTCGGCTAGCAGGCTAAGAGAGGATTTTAGCACGATAGCAGGATAAGAGAGGATTTCTAGTAGGATTTCAGAAGGGACATTCCGGCCCCCAGGAAACTTGTTCTTGCGATTGATTTAGAGGTCGTTCCGTCCTTTAGGGCCATGGTGTTTTGCTGTTTCGGAACCGCCCGCTAGGACTTCGTTGTGGAGCTGTTTTGAGGGCATGGGAGCTGGCAGCAGCAGTCAACATTGGATGGATTGGATTGGATGCGATTTCTAGCAGGATAAGGGACAGGATAAGGGATAGCAGGATTAGAGAGGATTTCTAGTACCAGCAGCAGCACTTGTGAAGTCTAATTTCTATGGGTTTCAGAAGTTACATTAGGCATTTTTGAGGTGCAATTTTCTCGAAGCTTTTCCGTCTTTCACTGCCATGGGGATTTGCCGCTGAGAGTGGTTCGCTTTTAGCCGTCGCAGCTAGCCACCAGCAGCAGCAGCAGCAGCAGCAATCAAAAGTGGATTGGATTGGATTAGATTTCTAGTCGGATAGCAGGATAAGAGAGGATTCGAGCACGATAGCAGGATAAGAGAGGATTTCTAGTAGGATTTCAGAAGGGACATTCCGGCCCCCAGGAAACTTGTTCTTGCGATTGATTTAGAGGTCGTTCCGTCCTTTACAGCAGCAGCAGCAGCAATCAAGTCGGATAGCAGGATAAGAGAGGATTCTAGCACGATAGCAGGATAAGAGAGGATTTCTAGTAGGATTTCAGAAGGGACATTCCGGCCCCCAGGAAACTTGTTCTTGCGATTGATTTAGAGGTCGTTCCGTCCTTTAGGGCCATGGTGTTTTGCTGTTTCGGAACCGCCCGCTAGGACTTCGTTGTGGAGCTGTTTTGAGGGCATGGGAGCTGGCAGCAGCAGTCAACATTGGATGGATTGGATTGGATGCGATTTCTAGCAGGATAAGGGACAGGATAAGGGATAGCAGGATTAGAGAGGATTTCTAGTACCAGCAGCAGCACTTGTGAAGTCTAATTTCTATGGGTTTCAAAAGTTACATTAGGCATTTTTGAGATGCAATTTTTTCGAAGCTTTTCCGTCTTTCACTGCCATGGGCATTTGCCGCTGGGAGTGGTTCGCTTTTAGCCGTCGCAGCTAGCCACCAGCAGCAGCAGCAGCAGCAGCAGCAGCAGCAATCAAAAGTGGATTGGATTGGATTAGATTTCTAGTCGGATAGCAGGATAAGAGAGGATTCGAGCACGATAGCAGGATAAGAGAGGATTTCTAGTAGGATTTCAGAAGGGACATTCCGGCCCCCAGGAAACTTGTTCTTGCGATTGATTTAGAGGTCGTTCCGTCCTTTAGGGCCATGGTGTTTTGCTGTTTCGGAACCGCCCGCTAGGACTTCGTTGTGGAGCTGTTTTGAGGGCATGGGAGCTGGCAGCAGCAGTCAACATTGGATGGATTGGATTGGATGCGATTTCTAGCAGGATAAGGGACAGGATAAGGGATAGCAGGATTAGAGAGGATTTCTAGTATAGGATTTCAGAAGGGACGTTCCGGCCTCCAGGGAACGCCGCTAGGAGTGGTAAGTCTGAGTGCAGTGTAATTGTCCGTGGTCACCTTTCAACTTCAACAATCAGTGCTGGCGAGGCCTGGTTTGAGCCGTGCTGTTTTTGATGGGCTGGAAAGCTACATAGATCGATTCCGAAATGCGCAACATGATAGAACGCTTCTTCAAAACAAAATGACCAATACCTTACAGATAATATCAGCACCTCAACTCAGCTATATTCTTATATCTTGGGAACCACACTGGATGAACACTGAGCCAGGCATTCCACGCGTGCTCAATTGGTGCTTGAAATGAATGAACATCTTACTGGCCGCAAATGCAATGTCCCAAGCAAAGCTCCAGAGGATGTCCCCAACACAAGCATCCATCCATCTGACCTGCGAAGATTGTGGATTGCATCAGAAGATATCAGAGGCAAAGGGCAACAACAGACACCTTCGAGTCACAGCAAATGAACTTCGAACCTGAGCAAACTCCTTGGTTTTTGTGTCGTCTCGCAAACATACGAACCTCTTTTTTTGTCCGGGGTCGGCGGCAGGGGCGGCAGCCCTTAAATATGTACCATACTTGTTAACAATTAAGTCGATATTTGTATAGCATACATCCACCTTGCCGGACGATGGTGATAATATGTGATAATGGTGGATTTGTTCCTCTCCTCGGTGATCTGATCCAAGGTCGCCTCCTGTTGTTCCAAGATCCGTTGCCCATCCAGCTCCAACATCTTGAGACACTTCGCTTCCAACAGACTGTTGCTACCGATCAAACGCCCGAAGAAACTCAGGACATTCTCTCGACTCAACTGGGATTCCAACTGGGAATCCACCTCTTCCACCAGCTGACGCAACTGATATCGATCTGCCAGCATGCGAACCACGAAAGCCAGGTCGGTGTTTCCATGAGCTTCAAAGCTGTTGCTGGTCATGTAATCCAACAGAGCTGAGACCTCAAATCTCAGCAAACCCTGTTGAAAGCGAAAGTTTGAACAAGTCACAAGAAGTCTTTAGAGCTCAGAAGAGCTCAAAACGTTGAAGCACAACTGAGGGAAGAGCACACTACGGAAAAAAAAAAAAACATTCGTAGATATTCTTAGTACCATGTTATGGTGCCATATTATAGTATAAATGGACACTATAAATGCCTAACATCTGTAAACCACTAACAATGGTGCAAAAGCCCAGCCCAGCAGCTGATTCCACCGTGCACTGCGGATCTTTGCTGAGGTCAATCTCACCTGGATCAGCGGTGTTCATCGGTGTTCCCTCCGGTTTTCTCCGGGGGTAAAACATGGAAAAACGCCATGGTACAACTGATTTGAAACCATCAACCCTTCCGATCCCGGAATCATGGTTGATCTGGCATCTGGAGAAACAAAGGTAGATGAGCCGAGGGAAAAAATCCTTGAACCATGTTGAACCACCAGCCCACCTGTCCGTGATTCTTGCCACACCGAAGTGGCCAACATCTCCCGGAAGTACTCAGACTGACCCATCAGGACGCGACGATCGAAGTAAAGACACCGATCGCCGGCCAAGCGGAAGGTCACCACTTTGAGCTCTTGGGAAAAATCCACCTGTGAAAAAGGGGCCAAGGTTTTCACATCGAAAATTCAACACATCTACAGTACGCATAATCTAAGTCATCCAACCCCATTTCATAGTCATCCAATTCTGGGTTTCTTTATATTTCTTTTGGATTCTTTTGGTATTTGCCAAAGTGGACCCATTTTCTCATCAGCTCGTAGCTGTCATAGCTAGGCACCGTTGGGCTAAAGCTTGGAAGGCCACGGATCTCAGCTTGGACTTGAAGTTCACCTTTGTCGTTCAACCAGCCTTGATCTCGGTCGATCATGTCGGAACATTTCAACAATCCGCGGAAGACTCCTGTGGAGAAACTCTCGAGCGAAAAAAAAAACGTGTTAAACTTGAAATGCAACTTCTAAACCTAGGATAGTTGTAAGACACCTATTTCTGACCAAAAGGCACCGACTGCATATCGCAGTATGGGGTTTATCACATTCCCATGTACCGTTCCACCCTTGCAAAGGACACATATCGACCCAGCCTGTGACAGGTCGATCTTTGCAAACCTTTTCCACCCGGGATCTGCTGATCTTGAAATCGAGATCCTTGGCCTTGCACACGGAGATTGTGACCATCAGATTGGTACAGATCCACGAATTCTTCACATCATCTGGGGCAGCGATGTGCAGAACCGCGACAAGCTCAGGAATGTTCGGCACAACAATCAGCCTCACACGAAAGCCTTCGCCCGTCTTGCCCTTGCTGACCGGCTGTGAACAAATTCGCACATTTGCTGGATACCGCTCCGGAGGAGAAATGAGAACCTCCACTCGTAGCGCGTCTTGAACCTGGCATGACCGCGTCCTCACTTCCCGGGTCGTCACCACATTGGCATTGGAGGGACTTTTCGCAGGCATTGCTTCAAAGGTAACTGAACTTGAACGGCAACGGTTTCCATCAGATGTGATACATGCTTGACATCATGCGTGACATGATGACAAAGCCTTGCAAAAATGCAGACTTTCAACACAGCTGCACGTGACCCCTGGGCACATGAAGAAGTAGAAGCCGGAGGCTACCAGCCTGTACCTTCGATCGAGCATTCAGAACTCGAAACTGTACGCATTGTAAGCTTTGTCGCTTTGTGCGTCCAGAATATGCGCCGGACAAAACCAAGATAATTCACATATGCCTTTCAGCTATGTTACCAGTGGACCGTATTAGTTAACCCAACAAGCAATACTGGTGAAAGAAGGCCATTAGCATCCATCAGCTAGCGGAAAACCATCCCTGCAGCATTGCACCGCTTGGGTTTCCACATCCACTGGGCTCACAAGAGCTTGTTCGGTGCAGTTCCAGTGGCCAAAGCTGCCTGTGCATTTCTATGACTTATTTCTGTGAAAAGGTATGCTGTGGGCCAACCAGAAGCCACTAAAATTGAAAGCTGTTCTGATGGCCCAGGTGTTTCACGTTGCACCTTCCAAGCTGTTGGAACTGAAGTGAGTCCACCCGGTAGCAGCACAACCACTGGCAACAGCACCTGTGGCGCCCAAAATGAAGAAGCGAATATCCCAGCAAATTCTCAGCAAGCACGTTTTACTATAAACATATCGGTGTTGAACCGATGTGAAATAAGCATACCGCACCAGCGTCGCCACGCCGGTGAGCACAGCCAGCTGGTTAGTCTTGCGTTGCGTCTTGTCCTGGCACAGAAAAACTGTCGGATCCCCACTCTGGATGTGGTTCGCTCAACCGATCCAACATGAAATCCAATATGAACATGAACGAAATATATAGCATTAGTATATATATATAGTATATATATATATATCATATATATCATATATATATATATATCATGTAAATATATATTACATATATATATATGTATATAGAATAGCTATCATAGCTCCAGCTGACATAGCTCCAGCTGACATAGCTCCAGCGTCGCCTGTCCTCACCCATGTCCCCAACGTCACCAAACTTCGTGGCGAGAACATTGCGCGTCACGAAAAAGAAGTTGGAGGCCATGGCCGTGAGGAAACCAAACCTGGCACTTCCAGTGATCAAAAATCATCATTTCTACCACCAAAAATGGTGATTTAACCAAAAAATGGATGTTAAATTAGCATCATTAAATAAATAGTTGGAAACCAAAAATGGTGTGATTTAACCCAACTATTAACATCTATTAACCATCAAAAAATTGTGATTTATGACAAATGATGATAATAGATGTTAACATGTTAAAAACGGGGATGGCTAAAATTAACATCTATTGACATTAACTTCAAAAAAACGGTGATGACTAAATAAGACTAAAATGATTCAACCCGCACCTTCGAGTCAGTTTGGGGGTCAGTGGGCACTCAAGATCATCGAAAATCTGAGATCCTCACATGGTGAATGAGAGTTCCTTGGAGGATGCCAAGGCTACCCCGGCGAAGACCGGCAGCAACGATGCATAGACCATGGGATGAAATACCTGGCACCGCTTGCGGCACCGAAGCATGGCCGTGTTGCCGTGTTGCCCCGTGGCCTGTCCCAGGATCAAGGCAGAGGCGATGGCGTTCACCGCAGGTTCTAAGGCCTGCAACGATGTGTCGCTATGATCTGAGCCCTTCATCTATGACCCATGGACATTTGTGGATGCGTCTGAAAATTGAGAGCCCATTCCATCCGCAGGTTAATCATGTTTTTCTGAGTTTGCCCCCATTGAAATGGACACAAATAGATACAAATAGTATGTTTTCCAATAGTTCCTCCATGTTTTTCCACTTTTCCCAAGATTTCCAATAGTTCTCACACTTTCCCATACTATCCCACCATTTAATTTGCAAAAAAAACACACAGCGGCCTTCACCACGTGTGTAAAGGACACCGCAACGGCGCCCAAGGACGCTACTGTGGCCACCTCAAACGGAGCGGCTGTGGATGGCTGTGGCATTACTGGTGATGGGTGACATGGAACATGAAAAAGAGGGGATACACTGGTTGCAGAATGGCTATAGAATGGTTACATTGACATAACATCACATAACATCACCATTGTACCATTGGGTAACATCAAATTATGTTAATGATAATGCTTATGTTATTGCAAAATCCTGGTGTTGTAATGAGATAAAATGCTATGCAATGTTTATACGGATATAATGGGATAGAACGGAGAGGTACCATGGTTGTATGATGGTTGTAAAATGGGATGCAATGGTCTTACAATGACTATATACATCTATATACTGGTTAAACATTATCTAAATTGTAGATCCCCATTGTTGGTTTGTACTTCCCCCCCTATGTTCTCATGGTCAACCACCAAACGCTAAACCAAAACAACAAATTCAAAGCAGCTTTCAACAGCAACATCTGGGTTTGTCGCACCAAGCCTGACCGGCAGCAAAAGCCGCACCCACGGGCGCCAGTTTCAGGTAATCATCTTTGGTCATCTTTGGAGCCTCGTGGTGTCACATCACTTGGATCTTTAACGCTCAACACACAGGAGTGGATGAAGAAAATGTGTGACTTGACCGAACATCTATGAGTTTATATGAAAATGTAAGGAGATGCAAATCTAAGAGGCACTGCTCAAAAGGATTGCACCATGATTTTACATCTTGTTGAACCTTGCTGTCTTCATCCTTCATCCGTCCCAGTCTGTGCCACCTTTACCAGGCCGGACGTCCACATAAACAAAGCGATGGGAATTCCAGCAGCAAGCCTTCGGCAGATGAGTTTCTCTCAAAATGCAAAGTCTTCAAAAACATCCCGTGACATTCCGTAACATTCCGTAACATTCCAGTCAATCTTTAGATCTACTCATTGATTTTAGGATATTTTAAGTGCATATCTGCATATCATATGTTCAAATGGTGTGTTCAATCCATGTTCAATTCCAGGTTTGCACCGGATCACCGAAGAAAAACACGGTTTGATGTCCGCAGCTCATGTGGCGCACTGAGCTGCTGGCTGGAACCAAGACACCGCCCAATTCGCGTGGAACACGGTCAAGAGCCTACAGTGTTCAAACATCTCCAAAAAATTGGTTCGGCACGCAGGAAATCTTTGCTGTTTGATGGTAATTTGGCAAGCAGAGATTCGAGAATCAATCGAGAATCGTTCAACTTCCATGCTCCAAGAGGTGTCGCACAACAGTGTCAAAGACAAGTAGGTTTCCAGCTTCTTATTTTGGATATTGTACTGAACCTTAGCAGGTCCCGCAGGACAGCAGGTACAAAGCAAAAACCATTCGAGCAGGCTGCAGATTGAAGACTTAAGCCCGGTACATTGAAGAAATACCACAAACCAGCGTAGACAGGAAGTTTGATCTTATCCCAAAGGCCCTGTCGCTTAGCAGTCGACAAGTCGACAACGTCACATGCTCAGCTGTCACAACGAGTCAGCAGCTTCTTTTTCTGCCAGACGCTCTCCAGCTGTGCCATCCATCTCCAGGATGGCACACATTGATCTGCACCTGACATGAATGCATACGTAAATCTTGGCAACTGAAACCCAGCGACTGACATATATAAATGTGGGGGTTCTGGTAGCACACTACACAAACATCCAATAATATGCAGTAACATCCAATAACATCCAATGCCGCTCAACCACCTCGAATAACACACAAAAGCATCCAGTAACAACCAATAGTTTGCCAATAATTGTTCAATATCATCCAATGACATTCAATAATCTTTCCACTTTGGTGCAAACTGTTCAACACAAACCGGGCCTGGGCGTTGTATCAGACTGGCCGGAACGACTCTTTGGCTTTCACTGCAGCACGATCCAGACCAGTGTCCTTGAGACATGATGGCTGACCGCGAGTACAAGCAATATCACTTCTATGTTCAAAAATCCCAGCTTGAAACCTGTGAGGACACAAAACACGGCTTATCTGAGTGCATCAATAACTTCTCTGAAAATGGAAATTGAAGGCAAAATTCAGGATGCACAATTGCTCCCTGCCAGCAATAATGCTAGGAAAGGCCTATTGACTCTGTTTTCCCTAGGTTTTTGTAGACTGAAAAACGTGTCGAAATTTTGCAATCAAGGCTGTGCTAGGTCCTCTTTGTACTTCTCCCACATTTCGTCCAAATATTCTTCGCGTTCGAGGCTGAACTCCGCATAATCCCATGCCACTCCATGTGCCTGCTTCAAAGGCTATGAATGTGTAAAGTTGTCTGGAAAAGAATGCCTCCCCCAAAACAGCACAAGGACAAAACATGCCACTGGTGAGCTGAGCACGAACGACACGAACGACACCAGAGATGGTCGTTGCCGAGTCGCCTCCGCAAAAACTTTCTCCTTGGTGTCCAACACCATTGTTGCTGAGGCGCGACGACCCTTGCCTCACACGGGGCGGCGTGTAGCAACTTCCAACGGTGGTCAATTTGGAAGATGAGCGTATCTAGAAATGGTGGATCCAGATAGATCTATCCATAATTTATCCATATCTATCACAGATCATGGGAATTATCTATCCCAATGAATGGTATAATCTTATTGGCAAAATGAAATTCGAACCATGCATTGATGGGGCTGGAACCTTGACGGGGAATCGTAGGATCCCTACCATGACATTTCTGACATAACGACAATCATCTGTACACATGTAGACAATTGTCGTTTGTATATACACAAACTGCGACAAAATTCGGACATATATTGTGACATATTGTATACCTATTGTATATATTTGTTGACAATAGTCTAACAAGTAATCTGACAGTATTTGCTGACAACAAGTTCTGACATATATTGCGACATGTTTTCTGACATATCGTCATACAGATACAGGTACGGTGAATTAATTACTGTGACATATTTCTAAATCCTGACATTCATTCTCAAATTTGCCGACAAATATTCGGACATGTGTTCTGCCAGGGTTTCTGACATATGTACTGACATATTCGCTGGCATATAATCGGAGAATGGGATAGACCGAAGAGATGCTTGGCCTTCCTTTACTTCGTAAAGTAAAACTCAAAGGTAGCCCCCCAGGAAGCTACCTTTCGTGATCAAGTGGAGGTTTGAGAAGGTAAGGACCTATAGGGCCTATAGGGCAAAAGAAAGGCTGTCCTAAAGAACGTGTGCAAGAACACTTGTGCGTCGAGAAAGCTTCCTCTTGACAACTCTTCCCCTGTCATTTCTTCTCGAGACAGCTCATGCTCTTGCGATCATTCTCTTGACGTCTGTTTTTTCGTCATCTCTTTACAGCTTCTGCTCTAGTAACTTTTAATTTCTCTTAACTTATCTTTCTCTTGTCATGCATCCTCCTTGTCTACTCTGTCTCTTGATCTCTCTTTCCCTTCACATTTCTTTCCGTTGACTTCTACCTCTGTTCATCCATGTTTCTTGTCATGGCTAGCGCTCGACAACTCTTTCTCCTTTTTTCCCTTGACAGATCTTTTTCGACTTTATCCATCGAATCCAGAGACCCTCACCAATCTGATCAAAAATGCCGTTCATTATTTCGGAAAAGAAACCCGGAGAAATAACCCTGTCTCTCAAAAATTATCGCCCATCCAAACGGGCCTTTGAACAAGACCCGGGCCACTCCAGCAGCCACCAATGCTTTGCAGCACTCCCAGCAGGGCGGTAGCCTAAACGTTGGGGCATTTCGAAACCGATTCGAAACTCAACAGATTGGAATCTTTGGATTTTCTTGCAGATATCATTTTTTTCAAAGGGGGCTCCATTGGTTTCAAGTATATTTCAAGGATAGACGAAAAGGATCACTGAGCTCTAGACGCCACATAAAACCAGGAGCCTCTCACTGGGATGCCTTCTCGTGCACAACCTCTGCCGAGCGTCAAACCATGTCGCAGAAAAAGTCCAACACCGCAGTGCTTCACTGTCACAGTCAACATGGTCAACATGTGGCAAGTGCTTTTCAAAGACCGGAAAGTCCCAGAAAGTCCCGGAAGACTGTGACAGTTGACATCAAAAAAGGTCCGTTTCGGAACGCCACGGAACGCCCGATGATCGACATCTCCGCATGGATCTCATTCTGCGGTGGCTCCTTCCGATTCCAAGGTCTGATCCCAGCGGATGGATCTTGGTGCCGGGAAAATCGAGGTGGCCTTAGAGCAGGATAACACCACCGATGAACATAGCAGTGCTTCATAGCAGTGCTTCATAGCAGTGCTTTCAGTCTTGTTCGATGTGTTGTGCGAAAATCCACATGTGCTCAATCCCCAGAGACTTACGAGAAGTATGAGAAATGGGTTGCGAAACCATTCATACTTGGCGGTTTCTGGCATTGAGCTTACCACTTTACTTTCACAAACCATCCCCATTGATTGATGAAATCAGATGAAATCCCAGTCATCAGAAAACCATCCCCATTTTCCCCGTATTTTTCCCATTCTGCCCATTGATTTCTGGTTAAAGTGCCCGAAAACCGAGCCACATATTGATGCCAAAGCCTATCACCTCGATCTCCACGTGGGAGCCGTTGATCTGCCGTGGGGGCCGACACATCATGGAACTGCAGCGCCCCGCCGTGTAATTCGCCACCTTGATGGTGTTGAAACGCGCCAGTAGAGCCTTAGCAGAAGTTGAGTTAACAAATAAGGGATGTCGAGGGGAAAACAAATGGCAAAAACTGTCGAAATGAGCCTGTAAAACCACATTCCGTTCACTTTCTATTCACTGTTCATTCAATTGTCGCAAAACGTTGCTCGCAACAATGATTTCAGACGCCACTAGCAAACGAGTCGCCAAACGCAGAAGGTTCTCGTCAAGGCTTAAATCAGGGCCTCATTGAACCATCAATTGTACCATTCAAACTCCCAAGGTCCCAAAAGTTCAATTCGTGTGAAAGCTGTCAGCTCAAGAAATCCTGCCAACAGAACCGCTCTGGGATGACTGGATCTGGATATGGCCGAGGGTCTCCATCGCCATCCAAAAGTGTCAAAGTTGGCAAAGGGGCTGGACTTGTCCGGGAGCCGCAGCAACGGCCTCAGCTCGAAACTGTCAACACAAAATGGGCCAAAGTTGGCATCGAAATGCCAACAATCTCTGCATTTCACTCTCCCATCCCAAAATCCAAGAAATGAAAATCCAAATCTCAAAAAATGCAAAAAAAAACTCCCAAAATAAATGTGAAATATGTGAAATGAAAATTGAAAGCATCGAGGTACTGCAGCCCTTGCAGCCGTTCCTCTGCACATCTGGTCACCCACCTGGCTCTGGCCGGCACCCATAAAGACTGGCCATTCAATGATTCGAAGGGACTCCATACGTTGAAAAATGAGATGAAAACGAAATGAACATTTCTCCGATGCCAGTGGTTGAAAAATTCTCAAAGTGTTACAAAAGCTTTTTGGAGATCCTTTGCAGATTCGTGTTTAAGTGAAATATAGTGAAATACAAGACTAGTTGTTTCTGTATTATGTGATATTGTCCCATGGGTTGATATCTAATGGTTTGAAAAGTGTATATTCAATGAGGTCGATATATGTGTTGATATGTTACCAAGATCTTTAAAAAAAACTATCAAAAACCCTCTAAAAGAGCTATTTTGAGCTGTTTTCATTGCCTCGGCACCGGCCGCACTGGCCGCACCGGCCGCACTGGCCGCGGGCAAAGGCCCCAAAGGCCCAGGCCACCCAGACCGCCCAGGCCCAGTGGAGCCATGGCGCGACATGACGTGATCAGCTTGTGATAGGGATGTGATTCATACGATTGATGTATTTTTTTGAAAAAAAAAAACTGTGGTTTTGATAGATTCTAATATACTACCTATGAGGACCTATGGTTTTGAATATAAACTGTTGGTTCAGTTGTTCAACCGAACATATACAAAACTATGCAAGGAAACAGCTGGGAAATCGATTGCACAGCACGTGGCTAAAGGGAGCCATCCAAAGCCCGGGAAAGCAAGGCGTGTGCGCACAAATTGAAAAGCAAAATTCCATTTGCCAAGCTTTGGTCGAAGCTTGAGTTGTGAACCAGCTGACGTTCTACCTTTTGCTGAAGCAGCATACCATAACTCCTCTGAATCCCTTCTCCTATCTAGGATGGCAATATGATGTCGCCACCTTCATGTAGACAGCAGTAGATCAAAACATGAAATGAATTGAAATGAGATCAAACTCTCCCTGTCCTTCACCAGATGTGCAAGTCCGTGGATCCCACTGCTGTCTACATTGATCATTGATCGTCATCATCCTGACTGTAACTTTGAGTCAGGAAGCCTCACATCGTCACATCGTCACATCGTGTCACGTCAATTTGGTGATGGTTCCGGTGGGTTCACCAAAGACTGCAGTCAGAATCTCCTCAGAAGGTTCCGTGCCGTTCAGGTAACAGATCACCAACTTGGAAATTTCCATCGTCAGCCCAACAATGGGATTCCTTGGAGCAAAATCTGAAGCTGGAATGGGAAAAACATCGTGAAATTGGCTACCTCATGAGAAAAGAACTGTTGAAACACAAATTGTTGGATTCCCAAGTACTAAAAGATTGGTAAATTGTCGATCTGCAAGACTTCAAGCCACTTAAAATGACAAAAAGGAATTTGAAAAATGCTTGAAAAAAATCGAAGATATGACAACATATGACAAACCATTTTGTGGTTGGGCTCGTTTTCACAAACTCCTTGTCCGGATCCAAGAAGATATCTGTATCCCGCAGGCCAGACTTCAGGGCTGCCTTGTCCGGCATGCTCAAATCCACATCATCAATAGCACAGAAATGTGTAATCTTCGGATTTTGTTTCAGCCACTTCCGGATCTCTTTACATCGCTTCTCCCGAAAGGACGAATGTAAAGCCTTGATGACTCCCGGCGTTGCTTGGTCCAAGTCGGGGGTGGAGCTGTACAGCTTTGGGATGCCGTGCTCCTCAAAGGCACTGCCGATGCCTTCGACCAAGACGTCCTGCTTCCGCCAGTCCGACGACAAAACGATCCGCGCTTCGGTCTTTTGGACGATGAACCTTGCCGAACTAGCCGAACTAGCCGAACTAGCAGGTGTAGATGTGGTGATATGTGATGAAACAACTGGAAAATCACAAAACTAAGAGTGAAAACACAAATTGACTTGACTAATAATGATGAATATGTAATACGATGTGAGAACTAAACCAGTTTCATCATTCATCAGGGTTGCAAATGTCCACTAGTGTTGCATATGCGTACCGCATTCGTGAGGCCTTACTACTTCTTGGAACCCATCATCCTAAATTCCAAAGAGTCTGAATTCCCATGATTCCTATCTCCCACTATCTCCAAGCAATGTTCCGCTTCATCACATTTCCTCCTCAAATTCCAGTCTATTCCATTTTATTCCATGAGTGGATCCCACTGAAGAGCTATTACATCAACTTAGCCCCTCCATTATTTGGGTGTCAAAATCATTGGCCCTTAAACAAATGGTGTGAGTCCATCCAGTGTTTATTGTTGACCCATATTGACCCCATTTGGAAAACTCAATCCCATGGTCGATAGTTAAATTCAGGGGGGTGCTTTGAGATCTTTGAGGGTGGAAATTGATTTGGCCGAAAGCGGCCACTTGCGGCCACTTGCGGCCACTTGCGGCCACTCGAGTGGCTGTAAGTGGCTGCAAGCGGCTGCGTGCTGGTAAAAATACATGGCAGAGTTGGCATCTTGAAAAAAAATGGTTTTGCTGGAAAGGCGTTGTTTTTCAAGTTTGGAGATTGGATAGGTAGGATTTTATCGTGCCTCACGAAACCATGTGGCAAACCATATGCCACCCATGTCTTCCATAGCGCGGGGAAGATCTTGGGGCGTAGCATCAACGGTGGTAGAACGGTAGAAAATTGAAAAGAAGATCTTGGAGAATAGCTCCAATGATGGTGCAATGTTGGAAAGTCGAAGGGAAGATCTTTGGGAAGATCTTTGAGCCTAGCAAAATGATGGTAGAATGTTGGAAATGGAAAAGATATCCCAGAGCGTAGCATCAATGATAGTAGAAAATTGAAGAGAAGATCTTAGAGCGTAGCGTCAGTGATGGTATAATGTTTGAAAGTTGATGAAGAGAACACCTTAGAGGATCAATGATGCTAGAAAATTGAAGAAAGACGTTGGAGAGTAGCATCAAAGCAGTACTATGCGAAGAGAAGATCTAAGAGAGTAGCAACAACTTTGCTAGAAACTTGAAGGGTAGCATGAATCAGGGTAGAATGTGAGAAAAATCAAGAGAAGATCTTAGACCGTAAAATCACTTATGGTAGAATGTTTGGAGTATGGCATCGAGTATAGCATCAATGATGATGAAATGTTTGAAAGTTGACTGGATCTTAGAGCATGGCATGTTAGAAAATACAAGAGAAGACCCTGGCGCCTAGCATCAATGATAATAGAAAGTTGAAGAGAAGATCCAAGAACGTAGCATCAATGATGTTACTGTAGAAAATTGAAAAGAAGATCGTCGAGCTAACGGTCAGTGATGTTGGACGCTTGAAAAGAAGATCTTAGAGCGCAGCATTGATAATGTCAGAAAAGGGACAGAAGATCTTAGAGCGTTGCGTCAATTATGTTGGAAAATTGATGGTAGAAGCTTGGAAGAATGATGCGCAGATCTTGGAGCGTAGCATCAATGATGGTAGAATATTTGAAAGTTGGGTAGATCTTAGAGCGTAGCAGCAACCATGTTAGAGTAAGAAGAAGCTGTTGGGGAGTAGCAGCAATGCATTCTATGTAAAACATGTGGAAGGTCTCAGAGCATATCAGAGCGTAGCATCAATAATGTTAGAAACTCTTAGCCCTGGTTCGTTACTTCTTCCCTTTCGTTTAACGCTTCCTTTCCATTCGCTACAGCGTTCCTTTCGTTTCAACTCTTCCTGTCCATTTGATACTTCCTTTCTTTCATTTCAACGCTTCTATCTCGTTCATGTACTTCTTCCTTTTGTTTCAAGCCGTTCATGTGGTGACGTCCTTCCATTCGTGTCAATTCCTATACTGTCCTTTCGGCTACATGTTTGTTTCATTGCAACTCGTCTATTTCGTTTGTTACTTCCTTCCTCTGGTTTCAACACTCCCCCCCGTTGGTTACTTCCTTCCTTTCGTTTCAGCTCCTTCCTTCCGTTTGCTGTCAAGTCGTTCATTTCGTTACATCCGTCCTTACGTTTCACCTCGTTTATAAACCCCATTTGTTACAGTCTTTCCTTTCATTCGTTGTGGCTTTTGATGCGTTACTGTCTTCCTTGTGGCCACTTGCTCTAGCAGCCACTTGCAGCCACTTGCGGCCACTTGCGGCCACTCCAGTGGCTGCAAGTGGCTGCTTTTTTGAAATTCAAATACCACGCGAATTGCAACCTCAATGGTTAAATTGCTTGAATCCCTCTTGTTTTCTTCTTGAAATCCTCATTGTATAAGTCATAAGATCACCACAAAATCTTCCGTTTTCCCCATGTTTTCCTAGCTTTTTCTCACATGTTGTCATCATTTTTCATCCAAAACCTCCCCATCCACTGCGCCTCAGTGCCCGCATGGCGCTGGGCCAGAAATCCACGCCTGCCTTGGCCTCGGAGCTGCCCAGCAGCGGCACACGGGCGCCGTTGATTTCGATGGTCCGCGTGTTTTGAAACGCGTCCTGCCTGGCGTGGCATGGCTATGGCGCCATTAATGATTATTAATAGTGGATTTTAATGGAGGTTTAATCTACAAAAATGAGGTGTATAATCCCATTTTTGGATTTTAGTGAGGTTTCATCTACAAAAATGGGATGATTATTATTACTAGTACTAGTGATTATGGATCGAAATGGGATTGAAACATATATTGAGACATAGATTGAGACATATCTTCTATAGTAAGCCATGATTCCCATTGTTGCAGATGTTGTATCTTAGTACTTGTCGCCGACTATGGCGGATAGTATGGGATCCAATGGAAATAGTTTGATGGTGACTTTATTGCGATGTGCAACCAACAATGACAACACTTTTGGTTCGAGATTATCGGATGATTATCGATTCAGACTTTCTTGATGAATTGTCCTAGCTGATTTCCAAAGACTAATGGGTCAGGAGGGGAGACCTGAAATCTTGGCTACCACAGGGGGCACTGGTACGTCCGACGTACGTCCCCCAATCAAGTCGTGTTTCACTGTTGAAACGTGTCCGTGTCGTTTCACCCAGCATTGATGGGCCGCCGCCTGCTATGCAACGGTCTCAACACCCCATCCTTGGAAGATTTCAAGTGACAGCTCCACGTGGATTGCACCACAAAATGGTCCAAATCGGTCTCTGCAGAACTTCACCACACCACTGGGACCAACGGGACCAATGGGACCAATGGGACCAAGCATCGATGTCCAGAAAGATCACTCTGGTGGGATCTTTGGTCGGAGTTGGCAAAGGCTGCATCTTGGTTTCCACCACCTCCAATGACTCACGAGTGACTCATGCTGACTGATGGTCATGCAATGCCAACATTGCCAAAAGTTTGCGAGTTCAAGTGTGGACACAAGAAACTCTACTCTACAACTTCATGCTCTTTTAGACTCCATGAATGAAAGGGAACAAGACAGCAGTTGACCGAAGTATTTTGGTCATAAGAACCCCACAAATCAACCAAAAAACCACCAAAAAGGCCCTTGACAAACATCCCAAGCGAAGCAAGCGAAGCAAGTGAAGAAAGAAAGTGACCTTCGGTGCAGCAATGATGCTGGCTTCTGGCAGGTCTCCATAGAGTGCAGCCATGGGGTCCACCTGTAGATCTGAAAAAACATGGAAAGTCAATGTCTTTTTGAGATGTCCTTCTCCAAGTTGAGAAACATGTTTTTGAATGTGTGTAACTTATAAATAAACCATCCACCTATTGGTGTTTTATGATATGTTGTGTGATATTGTCACTGTTTCATGATGTTATGATTGGGTTTACCATGGCTTACCACCACAAGTATCACCATGTACAGTACCTTTTTGCAGTTTCCAACAGTATATTCCAACATATTCCAACAGTATCATCACTTTCCCCATTTCCAACATGTTTTTTTTGGGTTTTTCCCCATTTCCCTATCGTTTTAACCACCGCTTTTCGCTACCTCGCTGTGCTCGGTGCGTGGCCGCTTCTCCGCCGGCTCCGAGGGCTCCGAGGGCTCACCCACGGCGCCGGCGGAGCCCACGGCGCCCAGGACCAGGAAGACGGCCTTGGGACCGAAGCCGAAGGACGCCAGTTGCCCTGGTGAAGCATGGGAAAACATGGGAAAACATGGGAAAACGTGGGAAAACGTGGGAAAACATGGACAGGTGAAGGATGACATAAGATATACATAAGATATATGATATATGATTATATGATTATATGATATATATAGGATGACATATAGGATGACTGTTTCAAATGAATAGAATATGATAGAATATCAGAGAAGGTAATGAACAATATGTGCAGCAACAATGTGATATGTCTGATATAGTACAAATAGTATGGCGACAGGTACTGTATACAAAAATTATCAAAAATTAATGTGTGCTCGACAAGTGGACAGAAAACACACACATTCATTCACCACGAAGTTGTGAATTCACCAGTCGGCCTTCCGGCCACTTCGCCGGCTCGTTCGGCTTCAGGCGTTTGGATTCCAAAAAGGTGCCGTGAGTGCTCTTCAGATCCACCAAATATCGCTGGCCTTCCACATCCTGCCGGACTGCTGGACTGTGCTCTTTTAAATGTTTGAATCGTCAGGCTGTTTCCAGATCAGCAACCCCTTTTGATGAAACGTCTGATGATATCGCAAATTGCCGATGTCAATACTCAGTCCTGAAGCACAGCTGCGTGTATTCTGGAGACCAACCTGCGAAGTTGGACAAGCTGCGCCACGGTGCTAAAACCTTTCAAATACCTTTCAATACCCTTCATCTCACCAAGAAATCCAAAAATTGTACAAAGTGGAGATCCGCAGGGCCAATGGCCCGTGGCCATGGCCCATGGAAGCCATGGCACTCCCCCTGCAGTTGGAAATCTGCAGATTCGTGGCGCCCCACGGTGTAGACAGACTTCTCCAAGATCTCCCAGCTGCGCTCAGCCTGTGAAAGCACACGTGGCACCGAGAGAAGTGTGACACGTGGGGATTACAATGTCATGATACATGATACAGGCGACGGTGCGCCTTTTTTAACACGAAAAAACCAGCCTAAAACCAGCCTGTCCATCCTAAACTTTCTCAGCTCACCAACTGTGCACCTTTCCGGAGCATAACTTGCACCGTTCCCCACCTCGCCACCCACAGCACGCACCAGCTGCTTGTGTCTCTCGGGACTCCGCGGTGCGGTACACCACTTGGGTCGACGGAATTTCTCATCCGCCATCCAACAAAAAGCGGGGCCCAACTGATCCAACTGGTGCAGTTCAGTGAGTTGCCAATGATTTTGACGGTGACCCAACGGTTGAAACTGATATGGAGTTGTCCCAACTGGAGGAGGCGTATGTCAAGCCTATGTCGCCAAAATTTTGAAAGTGGATAGAGGGTCAGTGGAGGCTGATGATTTGGGCTGGAGGTTCAGACATTTGCTGCATTTGCTTCTCTTGGTTCGCCATGAATCACCGTTTTCACAGGGGGCAACGTCTTCTCGCAGACTTGATCTTGCTCAACACCTTGAGCTTCAGCTTCAGTTTGGCACAAATCATGTCATGAGGCTCAGAAGCCCAGAGCTATATACCAAAACCTGCAATGATGATACGTAGCAGTAGGTGACACCAACTCTAATTGCTATCATGCAGACATTGGCATCACTAACATCACTCATCAGTCCTATGAATATTTCTGTTGATACTATTGTTACTGATGTCGTCAAATTTTACTGTTACTGTCACTATTATGGCAATATTACTACTGCTACTGATGTCATCCATTGCCACTCCGTGCCACGCAGCTGCCTTCGACTCGGACTCTGACTCGGCAGCAGCAACTGCTGCCAAAGCTGTCGCGGCTACGATGGCAAACCTGTCGCTTTTTTTGACAAATGGGTCTGGGTCAAAAAACTTATCCAAAGAAATTCGAGAATTCTGGCATTGCAAGGCCAACCAAAAAAAACGTACAAGAAACAGTGACCAAGACTGTTTGAGCTGAATAAATCCGCAGTTTTTCTGAGTGCCCAACGGAGATGCCTCTGATTCATCTTCCGCCTGATGGCAACACGCCAAGCACCCCATTGGAAACTGCAAAGAACATTGCACCTTTCGACTCCAAAGAACATCAAAGAACACTGAGAGCCATGAAGAGCTTCTATGGTTTGTGAAGTTAGCAACTGCTAAGCGGATGATCAGTGAAGTCATTGGTCTCATTCTCGTCCAGAAGGACGTTTCTACCACCCTCGACAAGATTCAGAAGAGGTCAATGAGGGTCCTGTACAAAAGCCAAAAGGGATACCATGGTTTCAACCAAATTATAACACAATTCTAAGTGGGAATCCCATCAAAACATATCAAAACCACACGATGCAAAGGGGTCCAGTGGCCTGAAACGCCTTCACGCTCGCCACGCTGGCCCCTGCAAAGGCAGGTGGCGCATCAGAAACCTGCAGGCTGTGATGCACTGCATGGCCGCAATATGCTGAACCGCCCGCCTCAATTAGATGTTCTATGGTTTTCTACAATGAAATGCAAAAAGAGGATTGTAGATGCTTGTCACAAACCATTTTCATCATCTCAGTTTTGGGGGAATCAGAATGAAAAATTGACCCCACCTGGTGGAGAGGAAACGCCTGAAGCTGCGCATGTGAGGCAGTCCAATGCTGTGTGGACAGCCGCTGAGAACTAAGGGGCGCCTGGCAGGTGTCCACATCGTCAATGGCTCAGGACTGTACAGTCCATATCAGTTCATCATTGCACAGCAACGGAGTGCTTGAACTCCTAGCAACACTGATCCAGACATTTCTTTTGATAATCTTCATGTGGGAAACGGTGCGTCTGCCCGTTTTCAATTACTGTATATATATATACATAATTTGTATACCCAATCCAAACATTTTGATCATTAGTGCAACTAAGTGCCATCTTTAGGTTCGTGCTGTTGGAACAACTCAATTTGTACCTGTGGACATATGTGGACACTGTGAAAGTCGCTGTGCCTGAAAAGCGCAGGCCAACTGCGAGACCAGCCAAGAAGTTCCAGCCAACAGCAGACAGGCGAGCAAAAAGTGCCTGAGCTGAGATGATTTGGGCACTGCCATCACTGCCATCTGAATATGGTGAGTCCAAAGAGTCCAAAGAGTCCAAAGAAGCATCAAACCTTGGAGTCCTTTGGAGTCCTTGGAGTCCTGCAGTTGTGGGTTGTCAAACCCAACTGGATTTTTCTTTTAAATGATGGGAGCCCCGAACCTCTGGCCCTGCATTGGGGTCATGGCCTTGATTCGATCCAGGCGACATCTCAAGCGGTGCCATTCTCCCTTCGAAGAGAAGGTACCGGCTAAAAAAACAACCGAACCCACCCGTGGCCCCAACATCCCGTGATTTCGTGCCTTGGGTGCAAGCGGAGCCGTCTCACAGCTGAGCCAGCTCAAACGTGCCAGCCGGGTGAAGCAACAATGAAAGAAATGGATGGGCACCCGTGAAATATTCCCAGTCACACAATGACGCACAGTCATGGGTCATACCTTCAAATAAAAGTGATGATTATATATCACCTGGGAAAACCCCGTTGGTCATAATCATATTTTCTTCCAAGCCCAGCCATCTCATGACATCTGCGACATTGCATCTTTTCACACGGGAGCAGAGAAGCTCACTGGACAGGAAAAGTTCTCTGCTGAAAACCTGGCCACGGAACGTTGGTGAATCTCCTCTGTTCGGTTTCCAGAACATTCTATGGCAGTTATGGCAGTTCAAGCACAATTGAAACACCATTGGAACCATTTGGAACCCCTTGAGTTTTCCCTTTGTTGTACATAGTATGGTCGTGCCTGCAGCGCATCTAAGCTGTCCGCGCTGCCTTCCTAGGCATGGATTCGCTGGGGGTTGCGGTTAAAGGATGCTCAAGGATGCTCAAGGATGCTGAAGGTGGAGCAAGTTGCCAAGTGGCAAGGAAAGAGCTGCAGCACACAGAGCCACGAAAGCAACAACCTGTGCAAAAGTCTGACAGAACATGATGAGAATCAGAATGAGTCTGAGCTTGACAAAACATGAATGAGGAAAATGATTGTCATAGCTCTTATTCTGGGCATCATAAAATCACTTTTGTCAGATCTCAATCTCCAAGATCTTCAAGGAACAAGAAATGCTAAGCCGCTAAGCCACACCAAGCTGATCCAACCTGCGTCAGCCGCAACTGTTGTGTGACTTCCTTCAGCTCTTGCCGCACGTTTCCCACCGCTGTCGCAGCATACTGGCAGGTCACAATCGGCAAAGGATAATGCCATTCTTCGATAAAAAGTGGCAAGCAAACCTGCCTTTCCATGTGAGACTCGTAAGAAAAGCTTTAATGCTCCAGTTTGTCACTGTTCCGTCAAAGTGGCGCAAGCCGCCTTGCCCATGCAATCTGCCTCGAGGTTGACACGTTCTCCCACCTGAACAGGGATCATTAGCTGTTGCATGACATGCGCATCATAGGCATATTGCGAGGTTTGCCATCTGGCAGTGCCGTCCACTGCGGTCCGCTGCCTTCTTCTTTGGAATGACGATGCACTTCTGAGTGTGCGCAATCAGCATCAAATTGAACCACTTCTCTCTGCGATTCACCTGGACACGTGGACCCAACAAAACAAAGGGCATGGCGCAAACGCTGCAGTGACCGCCATCCTTGTCCGTGGCCTCGCAAACTGTCAGGCTGGTGCCATCCACGGCAATGTAACCTGCAGGTGGATTAAGGAAGCGAAACAAATCACTGGAAAACGCTGAAGTTACTAAAGCCATCTAAAGCCCTGCCTTTTGGAATCACAAACGGCAAGATCTCATCGCTCAGAGAGATGCGCACCCTGTCAACCACTGGAAACACTGAGTTTTTGTGCTGAACTTAAAATGCCATGTCTGCCAAGGTGCCACAGTGAATCGCCCTCTGGCGTGAACTTCAAGATCTTTCCAGCTTCATCCACATGGCCCTGAACAAAGTGTCCAGAGTTTCGATCCGTTGCGGCCATTGACCTCAACTGCCAGTGCTCTGTCATCAAAAGTTGTCAATCAACCAATATCAACCAATCGTTTGGGGCCCCAAACCGTTCCAAATTCACCAGGTCACCTGAGAACACGGAACAGTGATGAACAGTGCAATTAAGGAGAGGTGGAGTACTTGCCCTTGGCAGAAAACGATGAACATCGATGAACTCGATGGACAGGAAAACTTGGTGGGAAGGGTCTTTCAACCGGTCACAAATGATGGAACTGGTCTGCATTGCCCCAACCTCACCTTTCCGGACCTTGCCTGTTTTCAAGTCGCCCAAGTCTGTTCTCCGCAAGGTCTCTGGGGCGCAGTTCACTTCAAAAGCCTGTCAAGGCTCTCTGAAACTCAACCGGCAAAATGGAGAAAAAATGTGCGCTAACAAGTCCACCAGCGGCACCCAAAGAAAGAAATCTCAAACGCAACTGCCACAAACAGAAGTAATTGTCTGTCCAGTTTGTTGGAAAACGAGAGCACCAAACTCAGCTGCCTCCGAATCGAACTGTGTCACTGTCAGACATGTGCCATTGACAGCTATGCTGCAGCCGATGTAGGCCCCTTGGAGTGCAACCTGTGCTGTTCAGCACGTGGGCTGCTCTCCAAATGGTTTGGATCCTAAAGTCAGCAGTGGAGCCTTGCATTTGATCTTCAGAACGAAGCCCTCTGATTTGGAGCCGTCCCACATCTCTAAGTCCGCCTGCGCTGTCACCAGAATACCAGTCACAACAGTTCAAACAAAAAAAAGAGTGCAGTTTCAAAATCAATTCTACCGTACAGTTTGAAACAGGTCCCAACTTGTCCCAACAAATCAAAGGATGCCTTCCGTTCGACGGAAACGACTTCACCCATTTCCTGGCAGCAGTGAACTGACCCACATTGGCCATGTACACCAAATTTCGGCGACTCCTCTACGATGCCGGTGAACACCATGTTGCCTGAACCACGACCGATGTCAAAACCTCTTGGCAAGCAATATCTTCAAAGATTAAAAGTTCACTTTCCCATGTTGCACTCATGGAACTCATCTCAAAGGAAAAAACACATTCAACCATGTGACTATGCCAAAACACGCCTTCAAAGCAAAGTTTTGCCACGACAGTCTGCTTTGGCTATACAACCCCCAAGTGTTTGAAGATGTTGTTGCATATCTGGTGTGATTGATGAATGATGTTTTCAATGCACTGAGTATCATGAAAACGCTGACAACAAATTGCAACATGTGATAAAAACGTGTTCACTGAACTTATAACAGCCTCTGTTGATGATTACAATCAGCACTCCTCACACGGACCAGTCGCTCACAGCCAAATGGCTGACAAGCACGGCTTGAATTGACAATTGGATAAAATATGATACAATATGATAAAATATATGATACAATATGATACAATTGGAACCTCATGGGTATGGCCATATTGGATTTACTCCAGACTGGACACGGCCGCAGTCCGATAGTTCCATGGTTTTCTCGCCAGCAGAATAGATGGCACCTCGTGATATTCCTCTGCCAGTTGCATTTTCATTCATATGAATCAAGATTATCCCCTTTGTCTAGTATCACCACAGTCACCACAGTCTCTTTCCCCTGATTCATATGGGTTTGTCTGCAAATAGGGTAACCTCAAAATCCAGTGGTTACATAATTTGTTTTTAGACGGACCCATAACCATGTGATGATTCGACTTGCGGCGTTTGAAACTCAACTCATGGAAATTGTTTCTCCTTCAGTGCCTGTGAGATTCCACGGGAGACGTGGATGAAACCTGTTTTTTCACCTGTTGAAACATGTTGGCGGTCACCGCTTCGAAAAATGATCAACTGAAGGTGCGTCCAAAACAAGGAGACACATCAATGTCAACCAGTAGTTTCCAGAATAAATGCCGAAATCGACCATCCAAAGTTTTGCTTTCCAAATGTGGGCTATCAAGATTCCAATCAACTTGACTGAGTGACACTGAGTGATGTTGATCCCTGGAAACGGTGTCAAAACGGCCAGACGACATTAAGGGACTGTAACTGGTGAAACACATCTCAGGATGAGAGAAATCCTGGCCAGGTCATGCCGTTTATGGGCAATCGAAAAGATGGAGTTGGGAAAAGTGGCCAACCAATTCTTCCCAACAGGCGACATAAACAATCAGGGTTATTTGCCTGGACAATGGACTTGCCATTTGAGAATGGCATTTCACCTCTTACTGCCAATCACCTTCAGAAATTCATGGCTGAAACGAAAACATGACCATATCCACGCCGTGGAAAACAATGTCGCAGGGTGTACTACCCACAATTGTTGGGTATAACTCTATATAAGTATTTTGCTTGGTCGTGCGAATATAAACTCCAGCAGAATGCTATCCGTTCCCAAAGGAAACAACTCAACCATGCCAGCAAACTCATCAAAATCTTATCATTTTGCATATTGAAACGAATGACCAGCCAACCAAGAACAGCCCTATATTAATATAATTCAGGCGCATTCATGTGATGCATGGCCATATCCTAAGCACGCTTGCGACACACGGTGGTCTTGTACCTGATTCAGCCTGATTCCCTAGCACTTGGGCACTGCACTTAGAGCCCAGGCGGTCTGCGAAAGTCTGGGGGTGGTGGCGGCACTGGTGGAGCAAATGCCATGATCAACTCAGTCATCAAGCGGGCATGCGGAAAACAAGTCACCCGCAATCAAGTGCAATCAAACGGGCTGAACTCGGATAACTGGGCCTCGGGCCATGTCAATGTCTGCTCGCATGCGAGCTATTTGAGGGGCTAGGAGTCTGGCACCTTCGGCCTGCTCGGCGGCGCTGTCAACGAACTTGGCCAACTCGTTCCGCTGGGTGACCTATCATGGTAGAGTGAACGCATAACAACATATCCTTTAACAATTCAAGCTTCAGCTCTTCACATTCACTGGCTGACGATGCCTCAACGTCTAGCCGTCTTTGCACGGCATAGACGGATGTGTACACCTGGTTCAAGCCACCGGCAACTGATTGCCAGAACGTCTGGTAATGCGACACCTCATCTTCCTGCCTCTTCTCTTTCGGCAGCACAGCGGGCCACCTGATTTTGGTTCAACATGGTTCAACTTGATCCAGCCTTTCCCCGCAGACAGCACGAGCCTGCGCTTCAATGTCAATGAAAGGCTGCGGCGGGACCTGCAGCCAAATCAACCTACGTTTGGCCACCCTTTTTCTTCAATTCAAGACGGAATCGTAGAAAATCAAAACCGATTTCGCCAAAAGTTTACGCGCAGTTACTTAACACAAAACGAAAATGCAAGGTTCACGAAGTGTCAAAACCAATGGCCTCACTCAGTCTGATCCCTTTTCCGTTTGCACTCCACAGTCTGTCCAGCAGCAGGTCAGCAGTTACACACGGTCACCACAAACCAAAACAAGGACGAGAGGTGTCATATACTAACTCTTCACAGTTTCACAAGGTTTCACCTTGAGCCAAGTGTTTAAAAGGTTGAGTTAGTTCCAAAAACTGTTTCCATTCTCTTTCTATTTCTTCTTCCACAAACAAGAGGCAGACAACACACACCCAATGGATGTGTTTGTCCCCTTCAGACGCCAGTCTCTCATCACAGTGAGTAAGACGTAGCTCGAAGCTACTTGAATAGACTGACATGTGTCATCATTAGGAGACAAAACAACATCCAATATAGCAGTGAAGTCGCCACCTGCACAAGATCACAGGAAACATACGTTGACACTCTCAAACTGCAACAACTCAGTTCACACTGCCGTTCAGACTATTTTGGTTCCACCAAAATAGTGAGTTCAAACTCGTTCGGTCAAAACAAAATAGGTCACGAATTCTGTTTGCCAAAAACTGATTCCAGCAACTTCACATTTGTCGATGAAAAACCAACCTACTTTGTTCAAAACTTGCAACCTGTACGCAAGGCATCGGAAAGTATCGATTCCGGCCAGTTTGGTCTCAAACAGCATAAAACCAGAATTCCAAGTTGTAGTTCCTCAACCACAACGTCGAAGTTCACAAGATCGTAGATTGTTAGATGTCAATGCACCAAATTGACTGCAACGTCATTGTCAATGTCTCACGACTGCAACGATGACTGCAACAACTACAAATTCATCTCGCACCAAATTTGTCAATATCAGCCCAGAATATTCGCACCTCCTTTCGAGATGAATGAAGATGGATCAATCCCAGACTCATAGAACTCAGCACGAGCAGTTGTATTCACATTATTCACAAAATCATCCTCGAATGATTGCTCCAATAGACGAAGTCCAAAGATGCAGCCACGCCAGAATGAAAGTAGATATATTGCTCCAACATAGACTGCCATAGAAGTCGAAGAATCGTCTCCCACCACAATCCAGCTAGACATACATAAGGAACACCGTCCCAGTCAATGAAGGTTCATCTACCAGTTCAGTATCCAGAGGTACATAGACCACAAGATTCCATGGCTTCGCACGGAGGCGAATGGTCTCAAAAGTATCTTTACACACCCACACAAGCAGGCAAGCAAAGCAGGACAGATCTGTTTCACACAAACGTCCAGGTACAACAGCTGACTAAGGCGGACCACGGTCCGGATTATCGTAAAGGTTGACAATCCTCACACGGTCGAATCAACCTCACACCTCTATGCCTGACAGTTGCAGGTGAAACGGTCACTGCATTAGCTCTGGCTAAAACATGGTGACAAGTCTGAGTGTGATACTTTTCACCAGCTGCCGGAAAAATCACAAACTCCAAGGAACTTGGACCCTCCCGTAAGCTATCATTGGTCATCACAGAGCGATCCACACCAGCGCCCTTTCGAGGTTTCGACCAACACAGCCATACTGTGCAACCACCGGTGACAAAACCGCTCAAGAAAGTGAGCACAAGTATGCACACAACCACAGTCTCAAACCCTACAGGTTCGCTCAGTCCAGAGTCAGTGGCATTCATACTTAGCTGCAACAACGTAGTGAAACTACCTCGAAGCCAAAATTCCCTTAAGGATCTTACTGGCTAAGGTCCGATTATACAGTCCAGTCTGCGTCCAATCAACTGTATTGAAAGGAGCATGTGAAGCACAAAAACAGTCTTTGAATTGTGCCATGTAACTTGCAAAACCCTGTTTATTTGAAACAATCTTCAGTCGTTTCCCTATGGGAAGACCCTGGCTGGATACATATCCCACTCTGCAAAGTGCAACAAGACCCTCGTGTGTGAGTTTCATCGTTTTCAAACGTTTCTCAACACCGTCACACTTCCACAAGCTATTGCACACTGGCCATTCTAATGACATTCCCTCTGCAATCTTCTCATACTCTGGCAATCGCTTCACGATTTCTTCCATCTCTGCAAAACGAAAGTCATAGTTTCCAGTTTCCATTCCCACTAAGATTTCTTATGGGTGAACCAGCAGTACATGGACAACTTGCGTGCATGTGGACATGTTTCGATCCCTGCCTTCTCTCCTCGTCAACTTGCTCACGAAGCCATTTCACTGTCGAAGCTTCTTCTGCTTTCTCTGAAACCCCAAAATATGTTATCCCCCATTCTTCACAGACAGTACGTAAAGATGAGTCTACGTCACAACAAAGTTCGATGATTACCAGCTCATCAGTTCCACCTGGTTTCATCAGTGCGGCCAGTTCCTCACTCTCAGGTGTCTCAGACATCATCTGGGCTGGTAACCTCGAAACAGAAAGAATACCTTCTCCTGCAACAAAACCCAACAATTCACGATACCGTTTGAAATTCCGGGTATCCAACACTTTGGTCATCATGTCACTAGGATTTTCACTACCCTTCATCCAAACAATGACAACGCTTTGGGATTCCAATTGTTCACGAACCCAATAGATTCGTACCTCAGTGTGGCGTGAACGCCTGGGAACATCACTCGCATCCAACAGGTCGCGAGCTGAAGCTGAATCAGTCTTTACAATCACCCCCTTTGGAAGTCTACTCTGGATTCCCCCCAATGATTCCACAAGACGTAAAACCAATTGACGTAAACCCAAAAGTTCTTGGATAACTGCCTGAATCCCGAACAATTCACTTTCACATGTTGACAGCGACACGGCTGTTTGGTGACGTGCATAGCTCTTGATCAAACAGTTACAGAAGATGATTGCAGCTCCACTAATTCCCTTTCGATTAGTCGACCGCATTGGGGCATGACTAGCATCACAGTACCCAGTCAAAAGGTAATCTTCACTACCTATTTCACCATCACTTGGAAAAGTCAAACAAACCAAGCCATCATGAAACAACCAACGAAGTACCTGTCTCAAAGCCCTTTCATGACGTTCATTTGGAGCTGCTTGACCTGTAGACAAAATACATACCATGATGTGAATGTCATCTCGAGTCTGCGAGAGCCAAGCCAGTTTTCCAAGAGCACGTCGATATTTCGCATGAGCTTCATGGCTCAGCAATGGACTTTCCCCAGGCTGCTCCAGAGTCGTTCGAATGTTCGGCACTGCAACACCAGCTGTTTTAGTTCTCCAGTTGCTCCCAATCTGATAATCCGAAAATGAACTGTCCAAATACGTTGGTTCAACCGAAATGAACAGCTTTGGTTCACGAGGCAATCTTTTGATGATTCTACCCACAAACTTAAGTTGACCCCCCTTTGAAGGGTGAACACTCCCGGTTATCTTGGTGGGCACAACAGAGTTCAACAACTCATGGACCTTCTTGGCAAAACCCTCATGTGGACTAGCTATCAAAATGTCATCAACATAAATAACAACAAGTCCATCTGGTCCAGCTAGAATACATGGTTCCCTTTCATCAGCAGTCAAGTTCATAGGTTTCACAATGGAAGTTACATAGTGTAACCACTCTCCTGACGCTGGTCGAAGACGCTGGTCGAAGACCATTAAGAGCACGATTCAGTTCAAGATAGATCGGAGACCCATCCTCCCAAGTTAGGCCCAATGGCATTTTGACCATGTACTTACAATGCGAACGCAATGGAGTATGCATGAACGCGGCGCTAACATCTAATCCGGTTAAAAACATCTTTTCTTGCGCTGCAAGGGCGAGTACTGATTTCAGTCCTTCAGTAGATGGCGTTGGCGACGAAACACCACTACTCTTCGTCTTTGTTGATGCAAAGTCTTTGACTACGATCCTAGATCGCACTCCATCTTGTCCGTCAATGATTTTATGGGTCGTAACCCATGGCGATGTCAATACTTTTGTGTTGTGTTTCGCGCAAAACGTTTGAGCTTCCTCATATTTTCGGGGAATACCAGCTTTACACCGTGTCAAATTACGGATCTCAGTCTTCATACCATCAAGCGTCTTATCCCCTGGCAAGCTACCCATGGTGCTATCATCAACAGCTTCGTTTGGAACCCAAACTTTCGCTTTCACCCCACAAAAATCAATGACTTCGCTTTGAGGATTACTCCCAAACATGATACTTGCTGCAGAACTCTCTTCAACCAAACATGGATAAGTCACAATGCTGCACAAGTCCTCATGTGTCCAAAGTCCGTCCATAACTTCAGCATCAAAAACGCACTCCATTCCATCGTTTGGTTCATCGATACCTCGTTTCACACCTCTAGCCCTCTCAGACTCATCCCCCAAGACAGGTGGCATGTCTTCGTTTTCAGCTGGTCGTTAAACCCCTCTAGAGTCACTACCAGTCCCAACAGAGGTGTCACCAGAAGCTACCGCGGTTTCAGTTTCAGGCACAGCACGCTTACGCGATGCACGCGAACCAGACGCGCTAGAAGGGCCCACATCACCCATCGCATCATCTAACGCAGGTTCAGAAGTCACTACCTCCTCATCATTGAAGATACTTCCGGGAACAGGCACAACATCCTCACCTTCACCTGCATCACCAGGGGTACTTGGGGATGGCACCGGACTGTCAATGACAGGACCTCTACGCTCCTCAACCTGGGCTTTATCTGCAACGGGTTGACCCACACCCAACTTGGCACGCTCTTCTTTCAACCATTCAACATACGCACGACAGCATCTAGCGCTATGAGACTTACCAGCACGACCAAGACCAAGTTCAAGGTTCTTGCACGCTCCACAGTTTGGGGTATACAGACCATGTTGCTCAAACCAACTGTTTGCGGGGACCAGTCCTAGGGCAAGTTGGTTCAGTTTCTGGAGGTCGCTCGCTCGCTCGCACACCTAGGTCATCTTGACTCGCACTCGCATGTTCAACCACCTCCCCAGTTTGCACAAACAAGCTTCTTACCAAACTAAACTCCCAGCGCAATGGCATCACGAGTTTAATGGACTTAGGACGAATCCTTTTGCATTCACCATCAATTGAAACGATACATTCATGAGCTTTTGACCCAAACGCAGGATGCAAATACGCACCTTCCATGAAACGTGGAAGTTCAGTCTTCCGCTGATCTCTAACCGAATCTGGAAGTTCGCACAAAACAACCGCACCAAAACTCGAAGTCACAGGCGTTTGCTGTTTGCGACCCTCAAGAAACTCTCTAGCAGTCTTAGTGGTTCCATGAACTCCAACATACATGTTTGACATGTGAGAGATGTACAAAACCAACTCATGCAAAGCGGCACCAGTCCTTTGGATGTCCAGTCCACTAGTTTGCAAGTCCATTCTCAAAACAACAAGAGTCTCCTTAAGAGTCCTTACACAACGTTCAGCTAAACCATTCGTCTCTGGGCTCTGAGGCGCAGCTCTAGTCACTTTGACAGGTTCGTCCAGTTTCGCATCTTGAAAAACCGCTCCTACTGCAACCTCATCATCAGTATACACATGGAGTACCCCTTGAGGATTTCCATCCATACATCCAAACTCTTTCAACCAGTAGGACAAGTTACGATGGTTCACATCAGAGTTGGGAGACATCCACAACGCTCCAAACATGTGTGAAGATAGATCTGCAACAACCAAAAACTTCTCTTTGCCAATGAAAAAGAAATCTGAATGCAACTCCATGATGATCCCACCTTCCGAGTCCTGGTTCTTCCGTCGGTGTTGACCAACAGATTTCGCAGCAACGCAATGCTTGCAGCTTGGATCATAAGGCATGTGTCCACGTGCACGATGAAGCTCATCGGGCTGTAGTCCATCCCGAACCACATTGAGTTCCCCACTACTTAATTGTGATACCCCTGAAACCCCTTTACAAGAAATCCAAGGACAACCACCCCATTCAATCAGTTGACATTCAAGTCCACTGGAATGTTTCATGGAAAACTCGTCAGAGCTCATTTGAATTGCCCATCCATTCTTAACCAAGGAACCCGTAGAAAGGATGTTACTTTTGGTGTCTCCTACCAAACATGCAATAAGAACCCTGGTGTTTTGCGTTTCACCGTTTCTCACCGTTTGCAAAGTCACTTCAAGTTTGACCCTTTCTGACATCTTTACAGGACTCCCATTCGCAGCAAAGAACCCTGCAGATGAAACATATGGTTCCCTCGAGACGATTTTAAAGTTTCTCACATTCCTTTCAGAGATAACACTAACCGAAGCCCCACTATCTATCAACCACCAATCAGTTTCCTCTTGAAGGGTTGAGTTCAAAAGCGGCGACAACGGATCGCTTACCAAGCAGTGATGGTTATGCACCTCAGCAGAATTCTCATCACAGGCACAACCAGTCGTATCATGTGACCAAAGATCTGCCAGGCAATTCTTCAGACACACTCCACAACCGCAAATTTCATCACAGGTGCACCTAGCTATGCTATGTGGCAAGAGGTCTGCAACGCAATCCACTGCACACACTACACAGCTGCAACACGATCCAACCTTAACCATGTCATGTGACAAGAGGTCTGCAACGCAATCCACTGCACACACTCGGTCAGAAGCATGCAAACACATGCAAACATCACTGCTTGGCACCTCAGACAACAATCTTTCCCCTTCAACGGAGATTCACAGTACTCCAAACTCACTGGAGTCTCATGCCATGTCTCATCAAGGGTGCAATCCATCAACAACCGCATACCATGCAAGTCCGTCCAATGAGCTTTACTCCCAAAACCCATCCATGGATCAGTCCAGTGTTTCCTAGTGCAACCACAGTCCAGTAGTCCGTCACCCTCACACTCATCCAACCAATCCACAACAGTTACAAGACGACTGCAACACAGCT